TATATAGTTGAATATTTTTTTTGAAGCAGTGATTTTATTTCAGGATTATTATTGCAAAGGTTTATATAAAAGAGAACTAATTTTTGTACTTTATTTAAATCATAAAATAACTAAACTATATACTTCTACTATAATGATAAAAAATGTGATTGAGTTAAAAATCACTGTTTAAAAATTTATTGCCTATACTACTTTAATATTTTCACATGACGTAATGATATAAAGCAGAAAGTACGACACCATTTTTTTCCACCCTGGGAATATAATATATCAGTATTACGCATTTGGCGAAAATATATGTAAGTTTTTTGCGAAGACTGTAAATTTTTGAAACATGGCTACATTTTAATTGATAAATTAATTCAATTTCATATACCCATTACTTAGTTCAACGCTTTAGTATTAAAATACTTGTAGAGACATTTGATTTTTTTTAAGCAGGACGTGAAAAATTGGCAATGCCCTAGCCGGGGCTCGAACCTGGACCTCTCGGATATGCGCCGAGTGTGCTACCGTTACACCACGAAAGCATGCAAGAGGAGGGAGAAAATACCTTATTAACTCATAACTGATTCCCGAAGTTGATTAGCAATATTGAAAAAATACAGAATTTTAAAAAAGTTTTATGGAAAAAATTAAGAAATAAACATATACTAGCTCTTAATGGAGAAAACTCAAAAAAATATAGAACATTTTTTTAAAATTTATACTTAAGGGGAAATATTGTAGACTTTGCGAAATATTTGTAATATTATTCCGAAGTTGATTAGCAATATTGAAAAAATACGAATTTTAAAAAAGTTTTATGGAAAGAATTAAGAAATAAACATTATAATAGCTTTAATGGGAACACCTCAAAAAAACATAGAACATTTTGTAAAATTTATACTTAAGGGGAAATATTGTAGACTTTGCGAAATATTTGTAATATTATCCACTGTTTCTGATCCCATTATTCTAAATTCGAAAATTAAATAGTGTAATCAGAAATAGCTAATGATGATGATTGAAGAACATTGCATTCTTTTTTAATTTTCGAAAAATAGGTTTATAAAAAAAAAAAAAAAAAAAAAAAAAAAAAAAAAAAAAAAAAAAAAAAAAAAAAAAATTTTGGAAAGAATTTGTTCTTTAATCACTCAAAAACTACTCAAGGCGCTCAAATGGAAATAAACCAGTAAGAACACTTAACAGCCTAGCTATACAAAAAATATTTTTAAAAAAAAATTAAAATATATTTAACACAATATCAAAACTAATCCAATTAAAGAGAGAATTTATTGTGAAACAATCTTGAAAAATAAAAATTCGGAAGGGATCTCCTTTTATTCAAACTCCAATTCAGAACTCATCACGGGAAAATAATTAAAGCTTCTACAAGTCTTTATGTTTATGCTTCTAGGTCTATTTGAGAAAAAAAGTAGAAAGAATAAAATGGCTAAAGACGGAAAAACATATAAAACGGAAACCTTCGAATCTCAAACGTACGAGAAATTATTCCTACCTATTTTAACACTTAAAAAAGGATAACAAGACATACTGCAAAATAACAGTTAAAATATAGAACGTACAAATCTACAATAAATTCAAAAAAATTGCGGCCGGGGTCTAACCAATATATTGAAACATACATAGGCTAAATTGACAGTTAAAAATCAAGCTTATATATGTACAAAAAAAGCCAAAAAACTAAAAAAAAAAATAAATAAATTGGTCTAAAGCCATATAGTTTAAGGCAAATTTCAAAAAAAGTCGATAAGAGCGAAACAATATCATTTAAAAAACTAAAATTGGGAGGTCCTCGATTATACTAAAAATTGTAAAAAGAAACTCAAACTGTATGAAATTTTTTAAGAAAAGATTAAAAGTTCTTTAAAATTAAAAATGAAACTATTCACAATAATGAAAAAATAAAGCGTAATCTCACTGAAATCTTATTAACATTTGCAAAAAAAGAGAATTCTTTTCTGACCAATGGATTTTAAAAAAAAATAACTAACAACAAAAATATTTTTGATTTTGTCCTCCTGTATATTTTGTGAGGGGGTGTTTCCCGGTGTGTAAATTATACGTCCGGAGAGGGGAACAAAAAATGGCGGTAGAGAAACTTCGAAAAGAAAGCGCTTCTTAAAAGAAATTTTAAAACATCGCGGCCAAGATTTGAATAATTGTCAAGAAAAAGATGGTTGTAGCGTCTCATTTCACAAATTGGAATTTCTACATACTTTTATTTTTGAAACTGAGATTGATTTAAAAAATAGCATATTTATTAAGCATAATTAACGTTCCAAATAATTATAAAGGTTTTGCATGCTTTTAGGGCTGGATATTTTTTTAGCTTGTCCTATGCTATAAGGAAATTTGTAACTACTTCTTTTACAACATAATATTTTAAATCTGAGCTAATAGAAAATTTCAAACAAGCAATTTTCTCTTCCAAATTTTATGCCTTTTATTGGTAATGAGATTGAGTTTAAAAAATGTAGATATATCAAGGATTAACGTTCCAAATTTTATAGCTATTCATGAAAGTTTTGTAGTTTCTAGATGTAGGGTTTTGGTTATTTTCAGGTGTAACATTTTTATATGAACTTTAAAAATTCAAAAGGGTTTTTGCATTTTATGCTTTTTTATTTTAGTTGTAAATAATAAAAATCTATTGATATTATAAACGATTTTTGAAAGTTTTGTTTTTCAATTGTTTTCATTTTAATATAGATGAGTATTATAGCCGATTTATATAAAGGATTTTATTCAAATTTTCATAATACAGATAGGATAAACTTTTGAACTTAAAAGTTTTTATGATTAATAAATTAATTTTGGTTAATTTTTTTTTAGGTTGGAATTTATATGATTATTTTTTATTATTTTGTCTGCAAGAGTTTCTTTTATACTGTTAATTAATATTAGCCCAAAGGGGACGGTAGCCTAGAAAAGGCTGTTAGTTCGAAGCGAATGTTCCGCGCTTTACTATAAATGTCCGTGTTCCTTGCAAATTGTTGTTACCAACTCTTATCGCCTGTATTCTATTAAGAAATAAATAATGAAGAATTTGCATGAATACATGTATGTTTCTCGCACTGTGACAAAAACGACAGTATCTAGAGTCATCAAATTCTGAATAATGTAATCCTCCACCCGAACATGGGCATCTAGACGGCCGAATTTAGAATTTGTTTTAATATATTTCATATTTTATAAAACTTTAACGAATTTTTGATTAGCAAACTCAACAAGTACAGAGCGAACAATGTACGGAAAATAACAGTTTTATCTTATAAGGTCCATACTTTTTTCTTTTACTATTTTTCATTTTATTTTTTTACCATTTTATTAGTATTTTATACGGTTTCATTTCTAAATTTTTATACATACAAAATTTCAAAAGACTGATAAAGAAAGAGGTGCAAAAACGATCTGTAGTTACAATAAAAATTATTTGGATGAGCTTTGCATAAGCTTTACTTGGGTGACCAAGAAGGATGGTCCAAACTAATGAGCTTTAAAATACATATAAAAACGAAAACTCGAATCTCAAATGTACCAAAATTTTCCCTACATATTTTCGAAAAACTTGGAAAAAGTATAAGTATACATAGTTCCAAAATAACAGTTAAAAAATATATAACTTTCCATTGTATACATTGAAATTTTAAAAAAAAATTGGTCTAAAACCAATATATGCTAATAAGAAATTCAAAATCAAATATAAATAAAGAGCAAAACTAATAGTCATTTAAACAAACTAAAAAATTGGGAGGTCCCCGATTATGTTAAACTAAACTTTTAATATCAAGAAATCTAGAAAGTGTACTTAGAAATTTCTATAAATAAAAAGGTTAAATCTGAGCTTTAAATAGCTAAAAACTGAAAACCTACCTGAAACAATAATTGAAAAAAATTGGAAAAACTAAACTTACTGAAATCTTAACACGACCTACTATGCGTGATCTTACTCAATTCTAAAGATGACCTAACGGTATTTCTTGTAAAAGAAAACCCAATTCAGACTGCTCTGGAGAAGCCAAAATTCTGTAGTTATTGGAAAATGTATGCGACAGCGTTCAAACTGTTCTATAGCAGAACAAAGTATTTTAACACGTATTCAAAATGTGCTACCCTATTATGTTATGTGTGCGGGGGTGTCAATGGTCGGTGTGGTCTGTAAAATTATTACCGACGAGAAAGAGGGGATTTTCAACATAAAATGGAGGCGTAAGAAACTTCTAAAAGAAGCTGCTCTCTGTAAAATTTTAAAGCGCGAAAACAGAACTGACCCAAAGTTTCGAAAAAGGAAAAAGGTATATTGTTTAAAACATAAAAGACTTTACGTAATCGGGGTACAATACGCCTTAGAAACCCTCGCCAAACTAACGTTGTTCTCCTGCCTAATTTTAATTTAAAATTTACTTCAACATCAATTTGCATTTACAAACACTGAAAATAACCTACAGTGTGCATTCAAATAAAATATCCTTTTCATGCAGCTTTTACAATAACAACAAAAACTGAACCAAATGCTTAAAGGCATACATTTGTTTGGCGATCCTGTAAACTTAAGAGCAAAAGTAACTTAAAAATGCAGCGGAATTCAGCCTTACACTGACATTTCTTTTATAAAAATTGTTATATAGGAATATTTTTGCTTCTTGTAGAAGAAGAATAATTCTCCAATGTGCCAATCCGCTTCAAAATGCACAAAGAATTTGCGATAAAAATCAGCTTAGATTTATTACTGAATTTTGAATAAGTGTCAAAGTAGGATGCTCTTTTTCTAAAATATTCATTATATTTATCTATAAAATACACTCCCCCCCCAAAAAAAAAGAAATTAAAAAATTAATGAAAAGTCAGTCAATAAAGTACAATTAACTAATAGCTGACTAACAGAAATAAACACTTTTCTGGTTGTTATCCATGTGTGAAAAGCATATGAACTCATGTGCTCAGTAAAATGGTCAAATACAAATTTAGCTATACAATACTGAATTATTTCTAACCTGCGGAGTGATCCCAGCCTCCTTTAACCTTCTGGATTCCAACGGTGATTTCAACCACTGGCTTTTGAGTCCCAGGAGTCTGGGAATGACCCTCGTTTCTTCCCCACATCGAACGTCTGGGTGAGCGTCCAATAGTACCCGTAACAGTGTAGTCCCAGATCTTGGCATACCGCCTATAAACACTAAAGGCATATCACGATTATAGACGTACTTCTGATCATTACGTCCCAGCACATATTTCTGAAAGAAAAATAAGAACTTATATCGTAAGCTTTTTCATTGTAATATTATTAAATATAACAATAAACTACGAATAGTCATTATAAGTGAAATCAGTCCTTTTTCATATGATATCAATGACAGCTATTCCTTATATTGTCAAATGGCTCAATGATGGATACATATGTAAATACTAATTACAAAATGGTATCGATGATCGTAGAACTCATAGCAATCATAAAAACGCTCTTAAATGTCATATTATATGATACTGCCGCGTGTGTATAGGTTCGTATTAGATTGAATGCACACAGGTCCGAAGACAGGTTGACAAAAATTTATTTTATCAAAGAGAACACTTAACAGTTCTGGAATTTTCTATACACACAGACACACACAACAGAAAAGGGTTGTACAGAATTCACAGAATCACAAAGTATAATCAGTAGTTACACTTCAAACTACTAAGAATGTTAAACACAACGAAATGCAAAGCGCATCTAAAGAGCGAAACTAATCCAGAGATATCTCAACTCCGACGTCAGGCTGAGCTAACGATTCACAACTGAGAGCAGATGCTCTCTCCGGTTTCATATAGTTTTCACCCGTCCGCCGCGATATTTCTAGTACTTTCTGCTTCTCGAAATATGAGGCATATAATTGAAAGGCACATGAGGGCTTGATACGGTTACAGCTAATATAGCAACCAATTATATTTATTCAATTATAATACCTTTTACGGAGATACAGAGACTGGACCAAAATGTCGGCATATTTGGCGTCTTTTGGCGAATTTTCGTCAGAGTTGGCGACAAAACGTAGTTCCTGAAACCGTTGCCAGCTTGGCGATATCTCGCCAAATTAGCGAGATAGCCATTTACAAAATGTTAAATAGATTTGTTCCTGTATTGTTACTTTTCCAACAAACTTCGTGCCGCTAGATTGTCGTGCTACATTATACAGAAAAATACAACAATTTCACATATAACTGCATTAAAATCATCTATAAATGTACAAAATTCTTAACAATGTTAATGACAGACATATGCTTAAAAGCTGATTAAAATTACTATTAACACGATAAAGAAAACATGTAGCTTAGAAAATTATTTATAAAGTTCTAAGTGTTTTTGATAAACATCATATTTTACGACCTATTCCTAATTTTTTTTTTCCTTTTCCATTCTTAATGTTATAGTTCTAAATCTGAAAGATGATTCCCAACTTTCAACAACAGTCTCTAGCGTTATTGCTTCAGACACAAAATAAGCAATAAACAAGATATTTTATTATTAACGTGCCTTGGTTTACAAATATAATAAATTCAAATTCCTCAGTTTCCTCTTCTGACAAATTGCGTAAAGTCCTAACGTGGTCTACAGTCTTACACGTCTGCTTAGAAAAAACATAGTGAACTAAACTAACATCTGAAGACATAAATTTTATTGCACTCAAAGGAAATGTATGGTTTTTAATAAATATGAAAATATTTGTCAAAATGAAATCTATAAAAAAAATCAGGCTTTGGAAAAGAACGGGCGATATGAAAGGAGAGAATCCAGAATCAGCCATTTTTAAGTGTTGCTTCTATGCAAAACGTAAGAACTTTTTATCTTCCATCGACCCCCACACACAGCGGATTCTCAAACTGTTTCCTTAAAAAAGCTTAAGATTTTTAATTTATTTTTTCCAATTTTATGCGTTTTTTACCGATAAACCAATCATACAATTAAATTTTACAGCGTGGAACAAAAGAGCTTGAATTTATCATTTACGTGTTCTGTTATACAGACACTTTTGTGTGTGTTGCCATTTAGCAAATCATATGAGCTTTAATTTACATTTCAGATTTAATCATTTATTATCAATTAACAAACTGAATTCTGAATTCAAAATAACCTTTTATTAATTCAAAACTTGTATCTTTACATAATTTGTATAATTATTTATCAAGGATTCTTCTGAGTACCATACCCTCACTCAGACGGTCCGCTCCTAAGTAATCACTCTTAATGTACAAATAATTTAAGAGAACGAACTTAAATATTCGCATCACGAACATAATAAAACATAAAAATCCTTTCTTTTCCTGATGTTTCTTTGACCCCGATATGACATTCTTCTCATTTGCTCCTAAGTATTTCGAGTAGGAAGTCCAGGTACTCCTAACTCTTCGGAAGGAAAAAAATAAAAAAGCAAACTTCTTCAATTATTGCGCTTCTAAAGATTCGTTGCCATGGGGACGGCAGGATTCGCGTTTATGACGTCGCAGAAAGCAGAAGATGCAAGCGTTTGAGCTTTTAAGATGGCTGAAACCTTACAATAGCTCTTGCGTTTTAAGGAATTTGCATAATATTGCAGAGTGTATCATGCAGCCTTTGTGTTCTTTAACCTTCATAATTTTGACTTTTAAAAATGTGGGAAGTTTATTAAAATGATGTAGGCGTTCCATGAAGGTGTTTCATTCTTAGTTATTTAGAAACTTGCAGAGCGATACTAGCAAACAACAATATACCGTGAGCTGCTTCAGCGTAGCAATGAAACAAATTTCATTTTTCACTGAAAATCCAACTATGCCCATCTCTTAATTTATACTGCCATTTCTTAATGCACATAAAATACATTATTTCTCGGACGATAAGATATACTTTGAATTTATGCTAAGATTTTTCGGAAAAATAAAGTTATTATATAAAATAGTGCTGAATTATATTTGTCAGACAATAATATATATATATCTCAAATTTATGAGACAATATTTATAAAGAATACTTTGTCATTTGTCATACTTATATAAAATATAAAAAAATATTTCGCTATAACTTAAAATTGGCGGAGGAGGTGACTTATAGGACCATAAAATAATACCCTCCTCAAATTTTACATTGAGTTTTTGAAGAAAAATTAGAGACTTAAAGAAGGATATTTAATATACTAATAAATTAATATTTTACGCCACCAGGAGAAATTATTGCGCCCGAAAGATCTTTTAGTCTCAAAGCACAGTTATAGGTCATTTCACTTTTCATTCGAGTCTGTTGCCTGTCGTCAAAAATGTAATCTATGCGTCTTTCGTATTTAATCTGCCTTGTAATTATTAACAAACTAAGCAGTTTAAAAACAACAGACGCAGTACTTGAGAACATTATTAATATTATTATTATTTATTTATTAACCTGATTGATTTAAATAAAATTGCATTAAATTCATGATATATCTAATAAAAACACTCTCAGTATTTTTCCGCAACTACGTTATATTTTTATTCACTTTCCGAATACACAGAAGATATAAACTATCTGGCCAAAAGTACCCGCACACCCCCATAAAGAAGTGGACTCTCGGCAGGTGACGTAATTTGATGGGTAACCGAAAGCTACAAATGTGTTTCAGTGGGTAACGACTTTTAGAAGTACTGGTCTTCTCCAAGATCTCCAGCAGATTCTTCGCTTCCCCAAGCCATGATTTTGGGCTTTTTTTTTTTTTTTTTTTTTTTTTTTTTTTTTTTTGAATGCTGATATCCCATCTTGGGATCTACTCATGTAAGCCTCATCACCATGCCCATCGTGGAAATATCTCAGGTTGCAGGGAAGTACTGCTGCCGCAGTAGGAAACCTGCATAATCACGTTCGTTTAAAAGTAAGTAAGTCATATTTATGCGTTTGTGAGACAATGAGTAAGTCAAAGGAGCTTAGTGATTTTTATCGTGGTGGTATAGTGGGATGCTACCTTTATGGCGAATCAGTTTGTGAAATTTCGGAAGTTCTACAGAAGTCAAAATCCACTGTGAGTGATGTAATTGTGAAGCGGAAACGTTTAGGCAGTGAAAGTGCAAAAAACTGAAGTTGCAGACCGAAACCAATATGTGAACGCAGCCGTAGAACTCTTAAAAGGGTAGTGGAAGAAAATCGCTCGTTGGTTGAAACACCTCAGGAGTTCCAAAGTTCATCAAGCGTATTCATCAGTGATGGAAATGCCAACAGCAGGTCAACAGCATCACTCCCCAGAATGCAAAGCTTCGATTGCAATAGTGCAAAGTTGAGCGTTACTGGACTGTGGACATGTGGAAAAACATTCTTTCAGGTGAGAATCTCGCTTTACAATTTGAGGGTCTGGGTTTCGCGGATGCGGGGCGAGAGCTCCTTAAAGTGACTTGTGTCGACTATAAAGTTTAGTGGTGACAGCATCATTGTGTGGGCGTGTTTTTTATGGTTTGGCTTGAGTCCCTTAGTTCCTGTAATTGGAAACACGAGCTCAGAGATGTATGTGGATATTCTGGACAGTGCTGTTCTCTCAACTCTAAGGCAATATTTCAGGGAAGCCCATTCCTCTTCCAGCAGAATAACTGCTCCATTCACACATGGTTCGACGAAACTGATGTTTAAAATCTGGACTGACTTTCTCAGAATCCCGATTTAAATCCCACAGATTACCTTTGGGACGAATTAGAATGCAGATTACGTAATGAGCCAAATCGCCACTCACTTCAGCTGTAACGGACGACTGGTCTCCCCAGACGTTTGCAGGCTGTTATCGATGCAAAAGGGGGACCAACGTCATATTAATATATGCCTCAGGACTCTCAGCCGGTACCGCTGCCTGTCTGGATACGTTTGGCCAGATAATGTACAGGGTGTTTATAAAGTCCCGGACACATTTTGATGTTTAATAACTTATAAAATAATAAAGATAGATTAAAATTAATAACATAAATAGTTAGATAGACTCAAAAGGTTTCATAACCCTTGTCAATGAACTTCCACGTGTGCCGCCTTCGTCGCACGGAGAATATCAAGTCGATATTCAATTTCACGCCAGGTACCGGCAAGCATGTCGGCATCCACAGAGGCTATTCTGGTTGTCATTTTTGGCTTTTAGGTCATCCATGTTCGACACTCTCCTCCTGTAAACGTTGTCCTTTACAAATCCCCAAAGGAAAAAGTCCAACGGCGTTATATCAGGTGATCTGAGTGGCCAAGGAATTGGACCTCCTCGCCCAATCCATCTTCCTGTAAAAT